GACATGATAAAAATTGTTGAGGTAAGCTGTTAAAGCAAACATTTCTAAGAGCCATGCTAGTAATCAATTAATTGGCCCAGTGCTGCAGTTCCCTTCTGCTAATGGAGGGGGGAACTGCCTGGCCCTTTTGTCTGTTTAACAACCTGCATGGTCATTTAACGATGCAACAGAGAGAGCCAGGATTGTGGTCATTGAGTGAGGCAGTCACATGGGCATCTCATTGACTTACGGCCTAAATTCAGGGCTCAATTGTGATCATAAATTGAGGACTACCTTATTGGATTACAGTTTCCAAATTCCTAATCAGCAAACCTGCAGTATTTGGACATTGAGTGGTATTCACCATGAGTAAAAATTCAGGCTTACCAGGGTTTTATTAAACCTCTTGTTATAAAAGCAGTTCTGGTAATTAATAAAGTACCATTTATTAGTGTAACATAATCATCTAATAACTGCCTGCATTTATTTTTGTAATGACATTTCTTTGCTTTTTGTTATAAAGGGAATTGGTTTTCAAGCATCTTTGGCTAAAAAAGATCCAAAAGATCATAACTTGGATTATAAAGAGGAAATCCAACAGTGAGTATACCTGTCAACCAAAGAATATTTCATAAACAAAAGCTCCAGGGATATTCCTCTCCAATTAAATGTCCACCCATTGAAAAAAACAGCTTTTCTTCTCCTTGCAGTTATTGAAATGTTACAGATTGGGGAATTCTTCATTGCCTAGGGGAGGAAAAATGAGGACATTTCTCATTTTTCACGAATAACTTCTAAACTACAATTGTTTCTGATCTGATTGGCCAACTACACACTATGCCTTTTTCTCTAGAGTCCTCATTTTCTATGTTCCACACTTCTATTTATGTATGTGCTATCATAGTTGAGTGGCAAAAATCCCAGGTGACTTTTGCTAATGGTAATTCAGATTGCTGCAAGCCAAATATTGTAGCTCTGCACAGATAGGTGCCACAATAAAATACAGCAGCACACAAATGAATGTTCAGGGCTGATTTGTATTAAATCTGATGACAATGATACCTGTAGGAGTAAACGTGGTATAATTTGCTTTTGTCCATCAAGTTGTGAGGGAAGCTTCACCTTCTAACCTTGTGGATTCTCTGCCATTGCAGATGGAGGAAGTCATTCTTATGCAGCCTGGTGTTTGGTATTCCAGTTTTGGTCTTAATGGTTTATATGTTATTACCCATTGATAACCAACATGGATCAATGGTGTTGGAGCAAAACCTGATTCCTGGACTGTCTATTCTAAACCTTCTCTTCTTTGTACTTTGTACTTTGGTTCAGGTATGGAGGTTCTTTAAATACTCTGTTTTTAACATCTCCCCTTATATAGTTACCTATAAATCTTTAAAAAGTTTTATTGAGACACGTAAACAGGACATGATGGAAAGCTAATTGCTCCTCTCTCTCTCACTCACTTCCTTCCAGTTCCTGGGTGGATGGTACTTCTATGTCCAGGCCTACAAGTCATTAAAGCATAAAATGGCCAATATGGATGTCCTGATAGTATTGGCCACATCAACTGCTTACGCCTATTCATGCATCATTTTGATAGTTGCAATTACTGAAAAGGCCGAACAGAGTCCCATCACATTTTTTGACACCCCGCCAATGCTGTTTGTATTCATAGCCCTTGGGAGATGGCTGGAACACATAGCAAAGGTTGGTATTTCTTGAGGGCTAAAGGCCAGATTTACTTAGCAACCACATAATTTTCTGAATGACAGCCGTGATCAGCTTAACGACATTGGTAAAAGTGGTGGTCAAATCAGGTCTGGTCATGTGATGACTTGCTAAATGACCACATTGAGATATCTTTAGATAAGAGACATATCTGCTGGTAGATAAGGAACACCCTATTTATAAGGTTGCAAAGGTGTCACAATTTCTATGGCCCCTGACTTATTAATGCCTTAACTTCAATTCTTTTAATTTCTTCTTTTCATTTTATTCTTTAACGATTGAATGTAGATAGTCTTCTCAATGCTGGGCTTTTGACTGCAACAAATGAAATAAATGAATAAAACTGGACCCCGTCCATTTCTGCCATCAGCAAATCCCTTGCAAGTTCCCCTGTAACTCTCAAACAGAAGTGGCTGCCCACCACTTTATATAGGTTCTTGGAAGCTTGCACCATGTCCTTAAAATATTCAGCTTAGTTCAGTCTTCACCACAGATCCCCTTTAAATACCTTTTGTGGCTACGTATCATGGCCAAGGGCCCCGAAGATTTAACTCAAGATTTAAATCATAATTTTTTTTTTCAAGTCTTTGCGGATCCCCTGTGATGACATCGCAGCCTTCCAGTTTTCCGCGGATCCCCGGCCTGAGAACCACTGAGATAGATCACTTTTTGCAGTTTATTCAAATTATATAATTTAATATATATGACAAGTGAGCTTCTTTAGGATAAACTTTCTACCAGCAACCTCCACTAGCAAGAAGTCCCTTGCCTTAATAGCTTCCTGCTGCATCTTAGTTTTGAAAAGAAAGTGGCATTCCAACCATCGGATTTTATATGCCCAATCTTTCAGTTACTCAGAGTAATATTGATCTGTGCCTGCATGTTGAGCAACAGAATTGGATTTAATCTTCCACTGACCATGAAGTTCACTTATTATCTTGATTGGCTGGACCATTTCAGTTCAAGCTACCTCTCAGGATTCAAGGATGTGATGATATAATATGTGAATTATATATGAAGGTCTCTGGAATAATAGTAAAAAACAATATAGCTGTTTCAGTGTATTTATCAAGTGCATTAGCACAGTATGGTGAAAAGATTCAATTGTTTTCTTTTCTTAATTTTTTTCCCCCCAAGGCATATTTTGATTGTATACAAAAATGCAAGCTTGGCAAAGTGATTTAATGTGCTTTGGGACTACATAGAAATAAATAAGTCTTATGTGCTCCATTATACTATGGAAGAAAAGCAGCAGTGGTTATAAAGGGTGTGAGAGATGAGCAGTTACCATATGAGAGAAAGGGAGGGGAGGAGAGTAAACCAATTAAATTCTAATATAGGGTTCTAGCCAAGAAATAGCAATGAAAGGTTTGCCAGAAAAAGGAGTTTCCCAGAGATGCTGATTTGTTCGTGTATTTCAAAACACAATGGTCTTTTGACTTGCATTCTCTAAAATATCAATGCTTCTGCACAGTGCATAACTAGCAGAATGGAATTCTTTTAGCATCTAGGCCCTCTCTTTAGGATAGCTATCATTCCATTCTGCTCTTGCATTAGTAACAATGGAGCGTATATCAATATTTAGAATACATCATTACTCTGCTCTTCAAATAGTAACAGTGGAGTGTATATCAATATTTAGAATGCATCATGTAAAATTAAACTGGAAGCAGCACAAGTACATTGTGAAGGCTAACTACACACATTCTGTCTCTATTTTCAGAGTAAAACATCAGAAGCGCTTGCTAAATTAATTTCTCTTCAAGCTACAGAAGCTGTGGTCGTGACACTTGGACCTGACAATTGCATAATCAAGTACGTCATTGGTAGAAATGTTTCACTTTTTTATGCAGCAATATTTTCAGTTCTTTTAATAACTTTTAAAAGTAATATGGAAGGGATGGCTGTAAATGCACTGTAGTGGATGTAATTGATTTTGAGGGTACAGTGAAACATAGTTCTTCTGAGTCACCTGTTATGAACTGCTGTATATAGATTAAATAGCTAAGTGGAATTGTGCCTGTAAAACTCTCCTTTGAAATTAATGATTTCTTCACCATCCAATAACAAGAACACGTCTTAAGCAATTTTTTCCTCCTTTGGGATTCTCTCCCTAACTACTACAATTAGCATGGAAACAAGTAGTCCTCAAGTTACTATCACAACTGAGCCCACAATTTGGGTTGTGAGTTATTGCTGTCATTAAGCACCCACTGGTATGTGGCCCTTCAACTCTTCCCACCACTCCTGGAAGGCTTGTTTCAGCTGAGGGCTGGTCTTGTGATGCTTTTGAGGCTCTTTCTAACCTTTGGAAACATTAGCTAGTTTTCTATAATAGCTGAACCTTGCATNTCCAGGAGGACTCCCAAGTTGCGGACCCTGTCTGAGGGGTATAAAAATATTTAGATCAGACCTGGTGATTTCATGGACTCTAACTCTAAACCTGACTTTTCCTTTTACTTAGCATCAGTTTGCCATTCTGTTCTTAAGAACTGATTTTCCAGTTTATCCTACAATCCTAATATTTTCAGGTCGTCTTCCATCAAAATACTAAATAGGCCTGACTGGCATAAACATTTCACAATTTGTTTTGCCATAGATCACAGGTCTCATAAGAATCTTTTGTTTTGGAAAAGGAAGGAAGAAGCTTTCAAAGAAAAGGAAAAAGGAGGGTGTCAGAGACAATGGATGTTCTTCTCCTCAGCTGGCTTGCTCCGTTCACCCTAAAGCCCCCAATCGATTATTATCATTGACAGAATGTGGTTTTCAACACAAAAAGAATGCCGGTCCATGTTTTAAATAGTTTTAATCTCTCAGACCCATATCTTTCATCTTTTGAAAATAAAAATCCATCTGGGATTGGCATTCCAACACATATTTGTTTAAAATCCTTCACTTAACTTCAGAAATATAGCACTTCTAGGAAAGAAGCAATGCTTCCAAAAGCAACCTAAAATACTTTTGGGATAATGATTAACTGATGTTTCTTCTGCTCCACGTATTCATGCAATATTTATTTTATTTTAGATACAGTAATTGGAAAACCTACTGACGGAGTTATAGAGCCGAGTGAGATGACCTCTGTTTCCTTTAAAAACAAAGTCCCAGAACTGTCATCTGAAGATGTATTTTTGCCAAAAGTGAAGTTGTGCACTAACGTTCCAGAATTGTCCAGCAAAAGAGACACTCAAAAATGTTTCCTGCTTGTAACAGGCATGACTTGTGCATCGTGTGTTTCAAGCATTGAGAAGAATTTACAAAAAGAAGATGGTAAAATAGCATGGCACATTTTTCTTTATGTTATTTGGCTTCTCCTTTGAAACAATGGCTTTCAGCCATTGCTGATTATTTAGCTTGCTAAATAACTATAGGGGCCATCTTAGCATTTTACTGTTATGTGAATTGGAATGAACCTAGCCTCATTGTACTTAAGTACTTAACAATGACATGAATACAACTTTGATTTGATGTTAGACATGCCCTGTAAATATATCTGCTTAGAAGGGAAGACAATAGATTTGAGAAAGATTTACTTTCTCATCAGGCTACCTAAAATGGTAACTGGATTAAGTAATAAAGATTACATTTTAAGGCTGGACTGAGCGCTACCATTGTGTTCAGGCTGTTGGATATGACATGGGAAAGAATTTATTTGTCTGATGCAGCTTTGTTTCTACAGGAATAGTCTCTGTGCTTGTTGCCTTGATGGCAGGGAAAGTGGAGGTAATATATAAGCCAGATAAAATTCAGCCTCTTGAAATAATCCAGTTGATTGAGAAATTGGGTTTTAAAGCCTCAGTCTTACAAGATTATGCTGGCACGGATGGCAATGTAGATCTTAAGGTGAGCATAATGACACAAAGTCTTAGAAGCCTCATATTGATCCTAAACAGAAAAATGCAAATATGAATATTCAACAAGGAATAGATTGTCTTACTTTTAGGTTCATGCATATGACTTTTGAAACATTGAATTTTAGATCCCAGCAGCAAATTTTAAACGCAGGTCACACAATTAGCTTTGCGATTAAAGTCATATTTTTATACAGCCATAATTTTCTGTTCATCTGTGTTTGTACTTTTAATTTTGTTTCAACCTGAAGTTCTAAAACATAATGCTAATTGGATATATTTGCATTCATACATACAATTCTACATTTATTTCAGCTACGTCTGATAAATGTCAGCATCTGAGATGTTCCCAAGAAAAAAGATCGACTAAGGGAACATACTTACTTTGTAATATAAGAATTATTGCAAAGTTACTTATAAAAGGCAAATATAACAGTTGAGAATCCCCGATATATTGCCGGCATATCTCCCAGCTAGCATATGATGAGGTTTAGCATATCTGGAAAACACTAGATTAGGAAAACTGGTTTGTCCTTGGGATTCTCATTGGCTGTATTTTCCATTCATTTTCTGTCTTCTATAGATGCCCTCTTGATCTGGAAGTTCAGGAGGTTGTGTAAAATACCACACAGATGAAAGTGTATATTTTTGTTTAATATGGGAGATATCGATGGAGCAATGGTCCATCTGTCAGCCCAAAGCAGATTCTTGTGCCGACAACTAACTGAACGTTTGCTTAGATTCTAGGGATGACTTGTAGTTCATGTGTTCATAGCATTGAAATCAAGCTTACTGAAACACCTGGCATTCTCGATGCATCTGTAGTCCTAGCCACTTCAAAAGCCCGTGTACGTTATGACCCAGAGGTGATTGGTCCTCGAGACATGATAAAAATTGTTGAGGTAAGCTGTTAAAGCAAACATTTCTAAGAGCCATGCTAGTAATCTATTAATTACGTTATATTTAATCTTCCCTAGTCCAGACACATTCCAAATTTTTATGTACCCAATCCAGTGTAGCCATTGTTGAGAATTCTGGAAGTGGCAGTCTTTAAACATTTTATTAGATTATAGAATAAAATACAAAAATACAAAGGCAAATAAGAGGACACAGTGGGGAGGAGAAGGGGAAAGAAAAGTGAGGCGGGGGAAGAATAGAAAAAAATAGCATTGACTTCTGACTCCCTCTGTTGCAGTAAAATAAAGCATTAACATTGAAACTCAACATTTTACTTTTCCATAATGATATAAACTAACCATTTCTACAGCAATGAGA